TTTGCATGAAGTAATTTTTTCTATCTCTTTACTTTCACTCTGCATCTTTTGACCTGAAATGGATATCTTATAGATAGTATGTGTGGGTCTTATTTTCTTCTCCATTCAGGCAACCTATAACTTTTGATTTGAGCTTTTAATTCATTTTGATTTAAAGTGATTATTGATAGGTATGTTGTCTTGTCTTTTTATTATTCTTATTTATTTACTTTTTATTTACAAAGACACATTAACATTTCTTAATACTGTTTTGGTGGTGATGAACTCCTTTTACTTTCTTGTCAGGGAAGCTCTGTATTTCTTTCATTTTAAATGATAACCTTGCTGGGAAGAGAGTAGTTGTTGGTTGTAGATCTTTACTTTTCATCACCTGGAATATTTCATGTCAGTCTCTTTTGGCCTGCATGTTTGTGTTAAGAAATCAGCTTACAGTCTTAAGGGAACTCCCTTGTGGGTAACTAAGTGCTTTTCTGTTGCTTCTTTGAAGATTCTCTGTTTGTCTTTAACCTTTGGGATTTTAGTCATGATGTGTCTTTTGTGGGCCTCTTTGGGTTCATGTTGTTTGGAACTCTGCATTTCCTGGAAATGTTTGTACGTCCAGGTATAGTACACCTACAGTATAGTATGCATTTAAAAATTAATAGTTAGCATCCCAGTCACTGAATATAATGAAAAAGACACCAAAAACTAATTTCTTAACATCAGGCATTTCATTAGCATGGAGCTAACAATGAGAAAAAATTTTGTGGATTATTTTCTATTAAAGAAAATTAAATGTTAACATTATGTTTTAAAATTTTTGTGTTTCTGTTTGGCTTTATGTTTAAAAAGATCATTTGAGGGGTGATAAATGGAAAAAGAAACTTTGCTTTGGGCAATGGGCGCATGATCCTTTGTGCAGATGATGATTTATTGAGTTGTACACGGAAACTTGTATAGTTTTGTGAACCAGTGTCACCCCAATAAATTTATTTTTTTAAATAAATAAATAAAAATTATTAGATTTTTTGAGACAGTTCGAGTCAAGATACTTTCCTGAGTGGCCATTAGAATCCCTGAGATTCAGGGGAAAGGTCAGATTTTAGATTCTCAACTTAGTTTGAATGATGAAATTAATTTTATTCTATTCTGACTTTACCTGAATTTTTTAGGTCAAATTTTGCCTAAATAGTGGCATTCTCAAGGACTCTTTCCTGTCCTTTTTCTTAGTGTAGTACAGAGGAGAATCATCATGAGCAACACAGCTTACACCTTGAGGAACATGATGTAAAATTGGCATTGCCAGATAAGCCTGGAAAAGCCAACACTAGTTTAGTTACTAATCTCAGCAGAGCGTTTGATTTGGCCCAAAAGTACTGTAGCTTACCACAGAAGTATTTTTATTTGCTTCCAAATTTTCTCACAAAACTCAGTCATTCTGAAACACAAGCTTATAGTCTATATTGGATTTTTTAAAATTCCTTTTCCTCACTTACATTAGCTGATTTTCTTACCTTGGACATAAAATGTTTGCCCAATTAGGTGCTTCATAACAGAGTTTCTTTCCAACAACACATGCATTCCAGGATAACCTGTTAGCTATATTATATAATTGGGAACTCTTGCTGATGGGGTGGGGTATTCATATGTAAGAAAATATTTTCTCAGTACCTCTTGTCTTACCATTATAGATCCTCACTATCATTTGTCTCTCTTCAAAGCTAATTGAAATCAGCCAGCTGATGTTTCAGTATATCTGCATACTACCATCCATCTGGCTGCACACATATGATGAAGACATTTAATGTAAAACCTCTTTAATGTACTAGCCCTTCACTTCAAGAGAAGAAATCTTGTCTAGGACACATATACTTCTACTTTAGCATTGGTTTGTTATAGAGGACTATCATTTGGGTGTCCATACTCATAACAATTTGGAGTAATTCCTCTCAGGTGACTGACCATGTGATATTCAGAACAGTCTTTGTCAGACTCATTCAGAACTGCAGTGACCGAGAAGGTGGTCTGTCTATATGTAACCATCAGAGCTAGAACATCTAGGCTGCATTGCATTGAGTAAAGGGCATATGTGACTGTTTTTTAGTAACTTAGTGCAGTTTTATCTGATTTAACAAGTAATAAGTATTGAATGTAGTAAAAGATTTGTAATACATATTTTTTTCATTTAATATTTTGTTATTAGGCTTTTAATCTTTTTATTGGGTTTATATGCATTATATTGAGCAAAGTTGGGATTATTCTGTATCTAGGTTCTATTCTTTCCAAACCTAGGTATATTTTGTGAACATTTTTCAATGTCATTAAGTAACCCTCTCCATTTTAATAACTGCATAATATTGTCATAGTGCTGTACACTCTTAATAGACCAATCCCCAGAAGGGACACTTAGGTTCTCTCTCATTTCCCTTTCATTAATAATGCTGTACTGAACATCCTCTGGAAAATTATTTGTACTTATAGATTAATTATTGAATATAGCATTGCCTTTCTTTAAAAACAAAAGTCATGTAAGTTTTTAATGTGTTTTGTTTGTTTTTATGTTTGTTTCTTTGTATGTTTTGGGTATGTTTTATGTATGCTTTAACACCCTTGAGAAACTTGTACTTTTTTGTACCCTCCTAAGTGGTGTGTAAATTACCCCACAGACTAATAAACAGCTAAGCATGGGCAAAAGAGAGTAGAATATCATCTTTAAAGTGCTGAAAGAAAATAAATTGTCAACCTAGAATTCTCTACCCACCAAAAATATTGTGCAAGAATGAAGGCTGTACTTACTATGATAATTATTTTATAGCACATACAAATACCAAATCATTACATTGTATACCTTAAACTACTATAATGTTATATCTATTATACCACAATTAAAAAAGAATAAAGGCAAAATACATATTTAGATAAAATATTCTACTAAGGGGCCTGCACTACAAGAGACACTGAAGGAGGTTCTTCAAACAGAAAGTAATTAATTGTAAATGGAAACTTGAATATTAAGAGTAAAGAACATCATATAAGAGGGCAGACCCAAAAAACCCAGAATTATCTTCTGGAAGAAAGGCCCCTTTCAGCACAGGCTTCCCTCATATGTGAGTGTTCCAGGAAAACATCTGTATCAGTGTACTAGCTGGTGTTATTGTGAAAGACTGTGTTCAGCTTCACTAAATTTTTTTTGAAGACTCAGTGGGTATCCCCATTTCATGACTGGTGATTTGTGAGTGTACCTGCACACACTGCACTGAGTGTTCAGCAGTTATGACCAAAAACGGCATAACCCCTGTGCCCAGCCCTTCCTATTTACCCTATCTCACCCTGAGCGACTTCAAGTTTTGTTTTGTTTTGTTTTGTTTTGTTTTGTTTTGTTTCTCCGGATGAAAAAAGTCCACAAAGGGAAACATTTTGTCAGTGTGGAAGAGGTGAAACAAAAAATGGCAGAAGCACTAAAAGGCATCAAAATTGATGAGTTCCAAAACTATTTTGAACAGTGGAAAAAATATCTCGTTAGGCATATTGCATCAAATGGACAGTACTTTGAAGGTGACTGAAGTTTAAACCTGTAAAAGTAAATATACAGTTTTTAATAAATAAATTCCAGTTTTTCAGGGGTCCCCCTTTTTGTATTCTAAATATCTGGGCAAATGTAAAAGACTTCTCTCTCTTTTGCCTTTTTTTTCTTAACTTCCTTATAGACTGTTTAACTGTTGAAAACTAAAAGTACGTAATTGTTTTGTGGGGTTTATGATGAATGTTTGGGGACATACAGGCTTTTAAGATAGCGAACATTTTTTTATATGATCCATTATTCACAGTAAGTGAACTGTGAAAGCTTAAGGATACATAATGTAATCCATAGAGACAACTATTATAGAAATGCAAGATATAATAGCTGAAAATCCAACAGGAAAATTAAATTGGTATTCAACAGAGGCAAAATCATAAATATGTATATATGTAATAACAGTGTTTCAAAAATGCATGAAGCAAAAATTGACAAAATATATGCCAAACTAGGCAATTTCACAATTATAGTTGATTTTTCTTTAAAGTTATCTATTTATTTATTTTTAGAGAGGGGAAAGGATGGCGAAAGAGAGGGAGAGAAACATTAATTTGTGGTTGCCCCTTGCACGCCCCCTGCTAGGGGCCTAGCCTGCAACCTAGGCATGTGCCCTAGACTGGGAATTGAACCCATGACCATTTGATTTGCAGGCCGGCACTCAATCCACTGAGCCATACCAGCCAGTGCTCATAGTTGATTTTAATGCCATCCTTTCTTCAACTGATGGAACTAGACTAAAAAGAAAAAAAAAAGAAAGAAAAAAGAAAAAGAAAATCCAGCAAACACATAGATTGTTAACCACCTAGCCTTATTTGATATTTGTAGAACATTATGCCAAACAGGGGTAGAATAGATAGTCTTTTCAAGTTTACATATGTTAACCAAAATAAACTACAATCTGTGCCAAGAAAACAAGTCTCATAGAAAGATTGGAACATACAGAGCTTATTACCTGACCCCAATGAAATTGAATTAGAAAGCAATAATTATAAGATTATCAGCAAAACACTTCTAAATGAGCATTGGGTCAATGAATAAATTATAACTTGAAAACACTTTAAATTGATAATGAAAATATCTCATACTGGAATTAGTGGGGTGCTGCCAAAGTGGTACCTAGAGGGAAATGCATCCATTACACAAGAAAAACGGGTCGAATAGATGATATAATTGATAAGCTGATTGTAAAATTTTATTGAAATTCGGTGGGACTTGCAGAGCAAAAAAGATGTTGCAAAGAGAGGAGACTTGCAGTATTCAATTCAACACTTACTATGGTCTGCAGTAATCAAAACAGTGTGGGATAATATAAAGAGAAGCAGATCAATGGAAAACAGAGTCTGATACTGGCAAAGGAATAAACACATAGGGCAATAAACACATAGAGAGTACATAAATAGAACCACATATATATGACAAATTGGTTATTTTTTTTTTTTTACAGATGTGTCAGTTTATTTCAATGGAGAAGAAGTTCTCTTAGCAAATAGTGTCAAAACAAGTGGACATCTTTGTAGGCTAAAATGAACCTTCATCTGCACCTGAAAGTATACATAACATTGCCTTAAAAATACGAAATTCAAAATTTAAAGTTAAAGCTATTAAATTTCTAGAGGAAACTGTAGGAGAAAATCTTTTTAACATAGGTTAGGCAAAGATTTCATTAAAAGAACATAAAAGCACAAACTAAAAGCAAATATTGGTAGAATGTACTTCACAGGATTAGAATTGCTTTTTGTAAGGCACTTAGGAAAACAAAAAGGCAAGTTACATACTGGAACAAAATGTTTACAAAATAGGTATATGATAGAGGGCTTGTGTCCAGAAAATGTAAAGAACCCAAAAAGAGAAACAATTCAGTTTTAAAATGGAGAGATGATTTGAACAGACACCTCATGATACATGAATGGTCAACAAACACATGGAGAGATGCTCAGCACCACTCGTTATCAGAACAATATGTTAATAAAGAAAAAGACCAACATTGTCAAGTGTTGCTGAAGTAGTGAATCAGCTGGAATCCTCAGACATTGCTGGTGAGAATGCAAATTGCCACATCCACTTTGAAGAGCAATATGGATATGCCATATAAAGTTTAACATACATTTACTATTGTACCTAGCAATTCCACTTAAAAGTATTAATCCAAGCCAAATGAAAATACATGCCCACCTAGAAATATGTTCACATGTCATAACATTTTTTATAACAACCAAAAACTGGTGAGTGACTAAACAAATTCTAGTATATCCATTCTATGGAGCCCTACTAACAAAAAAAAGAGGGGGGCAAAATAGTACTCCATAGAACAACATGGATAAATATCAAAATCATTATGCTAAGTGAGTGAAATTTAGCATAAATACTGCTTACCGTATGATTCCATTTATATGAAATTCTAGAAAAGACATAGTAACTGAAAGCAGATTGTTGGTACCAGTAGAGGGGAAAGGATCAAGTACAAAGGGGAACAAGGGAACTTTTTTGAGTGAGAGACTATTCTATACCTTCATTTCTGTAGCAGTTGCTCAATTTTATACAATTAACAAATATTATCCTACTATACACTTAAAGTTGGTGGATTTTATTCTAAATAATGCATTAATAAAGAAAAGGAAAAATAAATCCTATTCATCCTTTAGCCCAGGTTTATGTTCTTTGTTTATAAATCCCTTTTTTCTGTTGGAAGCAATGTTTTCTTTCTCTGAACTCCTAAAACACTTTATCTGTAAAACACTTTATCTTGCAGTGCTTATTATCATTTTGTTTTGTAATTTTATTTGTACATTTCAACTCCCCAACTAAACTAATTGTTTTTTGGATGCAGGGACAATTTCTGATTTAGTCTTGGATTCCCCCAAAGTCTGACTATTTCATATCTTGTTATCTATTTTCTTTTCTCAAAAGCATTGGATAGAACATCACTCAATTTAATGAAGGTTCAATTTAACTTGATTTCAGTCTTTTATAACTACAGATGTACTGATTTGGAAATACGTTTAGCATAGGCTATTTTGATCTCTCACAATTTCCTTTAGCTAATGAAAGAATTGCCATTTCTCCCAAGATTCCAAGATAAAGTGTTCCTTTAAAAAGTTACTCATTGCTGATAAATGGAAAAAATGATTTTGGCTAATGCTAAACTCCAGGAGTTAGTACATGGACTCTTATGTAAGGGATGTTGGGTGTATAAACAACTCGAATAACTAAGTCTGAGGTTGTGCAAAAGAGTTAGAAATACTCTCTGATATATCTCAGACTTTAGTCAAGATGTGGCTTAGGGAAACAAGGGTTGCCTCCTTGCATAGCCACATCAAAATTATAACTAAACTGTGGAACAGCCATTATTCAGAATCATCAGAAATCGAGCTGAGTAGAAGTCCTACAACTACAAGGTTGAAGAAACCACACTGAGACTGGTAGGAGGGGCAGAAAGGGAGGACCCCATATTCACGTGTGGCAGATAAAAATCAGGAGTGATATCTTAGGAACTAGGGGGTCCCAGCTCCACACCAGGCCCCACCAGCCCAGGGTCCAATACTAGGAAGATAGTTCCTTATATCTTCTGAAAGTAAAAACCAGTGAGGATTGAGGCTGTGGAAGACAGAAACTACTGGAGTCCCATGTAGTTCCTCTTAAGGGGCCCATGTATGGACTTAGGTTCACTTCCTCTGAGCTCCAATGCCTGAGCAGCAGTTTGAAAGGCACCAGATGCATATGGAGAGGAACTGAAGTATCTGGCATCAGGGTGTCAACTTTCTCAAGACAAAAGGCCTGGCAGAAGCCGTTGTTCCTTTTTTGAGTCCTCTCCCCACAGAGCCAGCAGGGTGTCACTATAGCAGAGACTTCATCAGTCTGACTAACAATGTTTGCCCCACCCTGGTGATCCCCTGAGGTTCTACCCCATCCAACTTTTGGGCCTACCCAGGCTGTTTCCAGTGGCTTTTCCTTATGAATGGCTTGTCTTGGCTCATGCTTCAGGTTTTCCTTCTCTCAAACTAACAGCATCTGGCCTAAGTATGCCCTTACCTTTCACACAGTGGACCCAGGCTCATCACTAGTAGCCGATGGCTTTGGTTTATAGCTTGGCCTTGCTTGGGCACCTCCAAGCGCAATATAAATAGCAGACACCGGCAGATTGCTTTATAGCTTCTGCTGGGTGGCCCCAGACAGAACATAGGTGGTGACTGGCTTTGGCCTAATCCCTCCTGGGAGGCCCCAAAACCTGCTCACCCATTGGACAGCTATGGACCATGTCAGAGCACCACCACCCAACCATCTTACACAAGTAACACACTCAAGGGGCAGACTCAGTGGGCACCAAAGTGCTGCTGAGTAACTCCTGCTTTGTGGAGTGGTCCCCTGCATAGCTCATGCTCCATGGGGGTTGGAGGTTGGTGGTCATTGGTCACATCTAGTCCTTGCAGCTGATTGGCCTGGGTAAATCCCTCCCATTGACCTGCACACAGCAATCAAGGCTCAACTACAAGAGGAAAGTATATGCAGCTCACACAGTGGGTGCACTTCGCCTGGCGGGAGAGGCTATGCCAGGTGGACCCTGTAGGGCACCTACTACATTAGGCCACTCTACCAGATGAGGGAGATGTAGTGGTTCTACATAGTACATGAAACAAACCCAGGGAGCTTGTCAAAATGAGGAGACAAAGAAACATGTCTCATATGAAAGAACAACAAAATTCCAGAAAAAGAACTAAACAGAATGGGACAAGCAATCTACCAGATGCAGAGTTCAAAACACTGGTTTTAAGGATGCTCAGTGAACTTAGAGGAAGAGTAGGTGAACTCAGAACTTCAACAGCATAGAAAAGGAGATAGAAACCATAAAAAAAACAAACCAGTCAGAAATGAAGGATACATGAACTGAAAAGAAGAACAATTTACATGGAATCAGTAGGAGAATGGATGAAGCCGAGAATTAAATCAGAGATTTGGAATATAAGGAAGCACAAAATGCCCAATAAGAACAGCAAGAAGAAAAAAGAATCCAAAAAAGTGAGGATAGTGTAAGGAGCCTCTGGGACAACTTTAAGCATACCAATATTCGCATTCTGGGTGTGCCAGAATGAGAGAAAGTGAGCAAGAAATTGGAAACCTATTTGAAGAAATGACAGAAAACTTCGCTAACTTGGTGAAGGAAATAGACACATAAGTCCAGGAATCACAGAGCCCCAAATGAGATGAACCGAAAGAGGCCCACACCAAGACACATCATAAAATGCCAAAGGTTAAATACAAAGAAAATTTTAAGAGCAGCAAGAGAAAATTTACCTACAGTGGAGCTACCATGACCGTCAGCTGATTTCTCAAAAGTAACTTTGCAGGTTAGAATTGATTGGCAAGAAATATTCAATGTGATGTAAAACAAGGACCTACAACCAACATTACTCTATCCAGCAAAGCTGTCATTTAGATTGAAGGACAGGTAAAGAGCTTCCCCAACAAGAAAAAGCTAACGGAGTTCATCACCATCAAAACAGTATTATATGAAGTCTTGAAAGGTCTTCTTTAAGAAGAAGGTCAAAAATATGAATGATAAAATGGCAATAAATACATATCTGTCGATAATTGAATCTAAAAAAACAAAATAAACAAGCAGAACAGAAAGGGAATCATAGATACAGAGAATGTTTTGATGGTTGCCAGATGGGAGAAGGCTTATGGGGATGGGCAAAAGAGGGTATTAAGTGCAAATTGGTAATTAACAGAATATTCATGTTATAAATAAAGTACAGCATAGGGAATAGAGTAGCCAAAGAATATATATGCATGACCCAGGGATATGAATAATGAATGTTGTGGGGCTTGCCTGAAGACGTGGGGTCATTGCACAGAAGAGAGTAAGGGGGAAAAACCTGGGACAGACTCTAATAGCGTAAACAATAAAACAATTTAAATTTAAAAAAAGATGTTTCTCATCACTTCTTATATAAAGCCAGATGTATAACTTTTAAATCTGTATTTATAGTGTGACCTTTTGACAGGACTTTTGGGATAACATTATCTTGGTTGGTTCAAGCTTAATGCAAAACTTGATGCAGAGTCGTTGCTCTACTCATTATTTTGAATGTGATGGTCACATGGGACGCATGCTCACTCAACAGTGTCTTCTGCCCCCACTGACAAGTACAGTGAAGTTGTCATTGTTCACACATGCACGTTCTAGTCCACTCTCCTTGACTGCCAGGTTACATCAATGCTGTACCAACCATTCTCGTTATATTAACAATGACTAGACTTTTTCTAGACAGACCTCTTATAATCCCACTTGGATTAGGTATTTAGTATATAGTCATAAAATGCTTTATGAAGGAAACAGTGTTTTAAATGATTTTTAGTTATCAATTTTTAATATAGTTATGATCAAATACATTATCCTATTCAATAATAATTACAGCAATAGTAAGTCATTATATTATTTTGCATGCCGTGTGTATACTGAGATTAGTCATTTTGCTGCTATTAAATCATCATTTAGCCAAAAGTGAACTCACCACCATGGTGTCTTAGTAGAGCCATGGAGCCTGCACTACACAGAATTTTATTCAAGTTAGTGTATATGCTACATTAAGTCACTGTATTCTTTTATGTGTGTAACATTCTTAAAACTTTGGTGAATGGTCTTTTTAAAAATGTATTGTTTTCAAACGTTTTATAATAAAAATTAAGCTTCTGTGCTTAATTTTTGAGAAGTGATACACTATCACAGGAATCAGTGAACTTCCTGTATAAGGGTCAGATCCTGAATACATTAGGTTTCGTAAGCCAGTCTCTGTTGCACTTACTTATCTTTGCCTTTGTAGCAAAAAAAGCATCTGTGACGATATGTAAATAATGGGAGTTCCTGTGTCTCAATAAAACTTTATTTTCAAAAAGCGGGTGGCAGACCAGATTTGACCCACGGGCCATGGCTTGCTAATCCCTATTGTAACAAAAGGTAGAAAAACCAGGAAGTAACCCACCCCTGACATTAACCGAGTATTGGCAACAAAATGAGTTATTTATTATGATTTTGTCT